AAACATAATTTTAATAATGATGACTTTATAGATTGACTTTGTACTAATGACTGTCAAATTTCTTTTTTTTCTTTTTTTGTAAATGTTTTTTAATTGATTTTGGAGAGAGAGGAAGGAGAGGAAGGGAGAGAGAGAGAAACATCTGTGCAGGAGAGAAGCATCTATCAGCTGCCTCTTGCACACCCCCTACTGGGGACCAAGCCTACAACCTGGGCATGTGCCCTGACCTGGAATCAAAATGGTGACCTTTTGGTGCATGGGATGATAATCAACTAAGCAACAGCAGCCAGAGCCAAATATCTGTCTCTTTCCTCGAGTATTCTTTCTTTTAATTTTTAAAGATAATGTCAATTTTTTTTGAGAAATAAGATGAAATTTGGTCTTATGCTATCTAATAAAAGAGTAATATGCAAATTAACCATCACTTCGTCACTCCATCACAAAAAATGGCGGCAGCCACGGAGCTGGAATGAACAGGAGGCTTGGGTTGCCCCCGGCAATGGAGGAAGCCAAGCTTCCCACCTGCCCTGGCCGGCCCTTAGCTCCGATCAAGGCTACAAAGTTTCAATTATAGAAGATAAATAAATCCCAGACACCTGCTGAAAAAAAAGAAAAAGAAAAAAAGGAGAGGCTGGGAGCTTGGGTCGCTGGGGGATGTGCCAGCCTGAAAACAGTCCTCAGCCCCTCACTCAGGCTGGCCACACCCCCATAAGGTGAGGGTCCCCACTGGGGGGCTTGACCAGCCTGCAAGCAGCCATCAGCCCCTCACCCAGGCTGGCCAGGCACCCCATTGAGGACCCCCACCCTGAATGGGCTGTGGCCAGCCTGCAAACAGCCATCAGCCCCTCACCCAGGCTGGCCAGGCACCCCAGTGGGGACCCACACCCTGAAGGGGGTGTGGACAGCCTGAAAACAGCCCTCAGCCCCTCACCCAGGCTGGCCAGGCACCCCAGCGGGACTCCCACCCTGATCCAGGACACCTTTCAGGGCAAACCAGCCAGTCCCCACCCGTGCACCAGGCCTCTATCCTATATAATCAAAGGGTAATATGCAAATTGACCCTAACAGCAGAATGACTGGGAATGACTGGTCACTATGACAAACACTGACCACCAGGGGGCAGACGCTCAATGCAGGAGCTGCCCCCTGGTGGTCAGTGTGCTCCCAAAGGGGGAGCTCTGCTCAGCCACAAGCCAGGCTGATGGCTGCCAGCACAGCGGTGGAGGCGGGAGCCTCTCCTGCCTCCTCAGCAGCGCTAAGGATGTCTGACTACAGCTTAGGCCTGCTCCCCGCTGGCAAGTGGACATTCCCCGAGGGCTCCCGGGCTGCCAGAGGGATGTCTGACTGCCAGCTTGGGCCCGATCCCCCAGGGAGCGGGCCTAAGCCAGCAGGTGGACATCCTCCGAGGGGTCCCAGACTGCAAGAGGGTATAGAACAGGCTGAGGGACCCCCCAAGTGCACAACTTTTTGTGCACCAGACCTCTAGTATGCTCATGATATGCTAAGGCTGCTCAACTGCTCGCTATGACCTGCACTGACCACCAGGGGGCAGACAGTCAACAGGTCGACAGTTGCTATGACATGCACTGACCACCAGGGGTAGATGCTCAATGCAGGAGCTGCCCCTGTGATCAGTGTGCTCAGCCAGAAGCCTCTCCCGCCTCAGCAGCAGTGCTAGGGATGTCCAACTGATGGCTCAGGCCTGCTCCCTACAGGAAGCAAGCTGTCAGTCAGACATCCCCCGTGGGCTCCTGGACTACAAGAGGGCGCAGGCAGGGCTGAGGGACAGACCCCCGCCCGAGTGTTCAAATTTTGTGCACTGGGCCTCTAATGT